TATATTCGTTGCCACAAACTAGAACCTTAATTCTCTTTTCAGTCTTGTAAATCTAGACAAAAAAAAAAACAAAAAAATGATTACTTTATCCTAACATATAAAAAAAAAAAAAAAAAAAAAAATTTATAACAAAGTAAATATATTTGGTTACTTTATGTTTGATTGAATTTGTACCGTATAACAAGGGGAGTAAACAGGTATGTAAACCGCTTTTACACACAACTGCAACAATCAGAGTACAATTCATCTCTAAACATCATTAAAACTAACTTTTTTTTTTTTTTTTCTCCTTCTACCTTTGACGAAAACTCTTTTCTGAATATATTTGAAGAGAAAGATTTCGACTACTTGGTAGCTGGTAGTGGAGATTTAAAAAAAAAAAAAAAAAAAAAAAAAAAAACATTTTTTTTTTTTTTTTTTTTACAATAACTTTTTTTTGAAATACCTGAATATATATTGTATTCCATCTTGTATATATATATCCTGTTCCCTTTTTTTTTCGATATTATATTTCCTCAATAAACAACCATACGACTCTAATAATTATTTTATATATATATTTTTATTTTATATTCCTTTTCAACAAAGAACTCTATTGTGTTGGTTGGTTCTATTTCTAGTTCGAATGCATCTTCGTGTGTTCCATAAATAATATAACGTTTCACTGTGAATATATGCTTTTTTCTTTTAAGTAATATATTTTTCAAACGCAAAATATTTAAAATAGTTTCTTTTTTTGAAAAAAAAAAAAAATTTTTCACACTAATAAAAAGATGATAATGATTCCTCCGCAAAACCCGAGAATCAAAACAAAATTGTCTTTGGATACAAACTATTCTAATTTGGGCTCTCCTGCTTCACCTTCTTCACCTTGTTATAGTCCGATAGCATCACCTACACTTTCGGGTTCTTGGAATATGAACGCGAATAAATCTCATGCTGAACTTACTGCTTCATTAAAAGAAGCTTATAATTTAGTAAAGGAGAAAGAAAGAGGTAAATAATACAAAAGAAAAAAAAAATAATATATATATATCTATATATATATATATATATATATATATATACACGTTATATCATAGTGAACAATTAAATACGTATATAAACTCCTTAATATTTACGCGTGACGTTGATTATAATTTATGATGTAATCGATTAGAGTTCTCTATTGTTCACGATATACGGTATAACGATATATATATATGTATAACGATTAAAAAGTTAAGGTTATTAAAGTTTAATAATATTTTAATTTTTTTTTGCACTCTTTATTATTATAGATCTTACTCTTGCCGCTGAAATTGGTAAAAGTCTTCTTGAGAATAATATTGCTCTTAAAGCAAAATATGAGGAAATTGTTCTCGAATTACAACAACTTCAACGTCAACATCAAAAAAAGACTACTTTCATTGCTTTACATGCTGAAAAACCTAATGTTACTTCAATAGCTCCTCCAAATACTTATGATGACTTTGAACGTGATGATAGTGATTCTGAATCACATATAAGTTATAATAGTGGTACTTCATTTGAACATACTAAAGTACAATCTGAATTAAGAAATCGTAATAAGAAGAATGATCAAACAATTAGTTATAAAGATCTTGAAAATATTAGAGAATTAGAAGGCAGGAATCAAGTACTTCAATCTCAACTTGATGAACTTACAAAAGAATATATTGATAGTGATAAAGCTAATAAAACAAAAATACGTAAATTAGAAGCTGACCTTTTACATTATCAAGAAGTTTATTCATCTGCTACTCATCAAATTGAAGTCCTTGAACAAGAAAATGAACGTTTATTACAAAAACAAAAATCCGATTTTTGGAATCTTAAATATAATAAAAAAACTGCTTCAAATGATGAAGATCTTATTGAAAGTTTAATGAATAAAGTTAGTGAATTAGAATCTCAAAATAATACTGTTGAACGTGCTAAAACTGAAATAGAAAAACGACTTCAAAGAGTTGTTCAAGATTTGGAATCTCTTCAAGAACAATATGATGAATTATCTGAAAGATCAAGAGATTTTGAATTGTTGAAGGTCGCTAATCATGAACAAGAACTTCTTATCAATGAGCTCAATGAGTCTCTGGAAGAACAACGTGCAATGATCGTTGGTATGAGGTCTAATGCTTATTCAAGAAATCCTTCTAGATCAAATTCATTCTCTTATTCTGATAATGGAATGATGAGTAATGCTTTAAGGCGGATAAGTAACCCTCCAGCAAATCAAAATTCTCAACAAGGTCTCGGTGGAAAGATTAAAACTACTTTACTATCTGAATTAGAAAATGTGTGGTAACGAATATAAGTATAATAAATCGGGTGATGAGAAAGAGGTGAGATAAAAAAATTTTTTTTTTTCGACATTGAATTATTTCCGATATCGATAATTTATATTTATAAATAAAAAAAGTATAAAAAAAATATGATATCATTATGTTTCATTCACATGTGGTTTTCGTGTGAAAATGGGAATGTAATCGGATAAGTGTGCATCCAACCAAACAACAATAACACAAGACATCCACAAAAGAAAGGGATGATCAAACATTGGTACCACCAAAGCCCAACAGTCAAAATTGAAAAATTCATGGGATTAAACTCGATGACCTTATGGGACTCGACAAAAACGATGTGTTGATCATAGAAGATACATGTGGGATGAATATCAATTTTAATCCATGTGCTAATTGATTAATTTTTTAGAAGAGAAAATTGTTCTTCAGGGTAAATCATAAATCTGCAATGCATTTTACCGATAAATAAGAAATCAATGGCCGGCATTAGTTAATAGTAGTACTTAAGTCAATGACAAAGACTAATAGGTTATAAGGATATATGGATTAGGATATGGATTCAAGGTACAATGCTGTATAACACTTCTCAATGATGTCATTTAAGACCTAAAGAATAAAAGAATCACCTTTATTTTTTGCAACCGAAGAAAGGGTTGTGTAAATGGTGTTGGTGATTGATTTTAATGATTTTAATGATTTTAATGCTTATAAAAATAGATAACAGCCACAGCATAATATAAATAACAATATTCCGATATTATCACGCGGAAAGGGTGTGAAGAAAGTGATAGTACAACGCCAATTTACGATATATATAAATCGATATCTGATATATAATTTAACGCCAACCTTCTAAAAACGAAAAATATTAATAACAAATATTAACCCGATGAAAGGATCATATGTAGAATAACATTTAACGTTAATACGTACTGTAATACTATAATACAATAATAAAGAATAAAAAGAATAAAGGAATAGCTCAACTCTAAATTTGATACGTAGGACTTGTAATACCAAAAGCCACTATCTATTTTAACAAATTTTATTAACATATGAAAAAAAAAGTCGATTAGATAACATTATTTCAAGTTATCCCAAGTTATCCCAAGTTATCCCAAGTTATCCCAAGTTATCCCAAGTTATATCAAGTTATCTCAAGTTTATTAGGGTTTTTTTTTGATAATCTAAAATTTTAATATTTGTTGACAAAACAAGAACTTAAAATATTTTTAAAGGGTCATTTCTCTTATAAAAATATTAAAAAAAAAATCTTGTTAATAACCAAAAAAGAAACTTTAGAATACAATGGCGTTATTTTAACAACTTATACACCGGATATCTGGATACCCGAATATTTCAAACAATCATCATTTAAGTTATTCTTCTAAACTTATTTTTGTAGATCTTAAAATAATCCTGTATTTCAATCACCTGTCATCTCCACTTTTCCTTTTTGCATCAGCTTACGTTAGTTATAACTTATATCCTTCAAATCTCAATTCACATATTAACCACGTTTGTTTACTCTTATTTTAATGGTTTAATTCATCACACGATTAATTGTGGGGTAAACAGGTTTTTAAAAAGAAAGCTACCAACCCATTAAAGACCTTTCGATTAAAGGATTTAATGGTCTTAAAAACTTGTGTATTACTTAGTACTGTATTACTTGGTATATGAACATTTTCATGTGGAGTGGTGGATTTTGATAGTCAAATAATCATTATATTTGGATGTACCAAATAGTTTTGTACGACAAATTTTCCCCACAAAATCTCTTAAATATCAAAAATATCAAACCCCACCTTAATGTACACAAACAATCATCATCTGTCTGTGTTATGTTGATCTTTACTAATTTCTTTTTATTAAAATATTGTCGCGTCACAATTTTTATTACGAAAGTGAAAAGAATAATCCAATATAAGAATAGATAAACTGGTTTTTTTATACATAAAAAAACAATCAATACGTCTAACTTTGGTTTTTTTGTTCCGTGTTACGTACTCTATTTTATTATGTAAGATAAAATTATTATTATTATTAGTTAGAATAAAAAAAAAATTTCGATCTCACCAAACTTGCCTTTTTATTTTGATTTCACACAATAAATCCAAATTATTTCTTATTTTTCCTTTAATTATTCTAAATCCAAATTTATTTCTTTAATTATACCAAAAAATTTTCAAAATTTCCGGTTTTTTTTTATTATTTGGCGGTTGGCGCGAAACTCTTAATTTTCATTCTTTAAAGTTTTCCCCCTAAACTAAATAAAAAAAAAAAAACTTGATTTTTTACTGGAATTTATTTTTTTGGCAACTTGGATAATTTATGTCGAAACCCTTATTTAGTCACATGTCGCCAGGGTTTCACTTAAAAAAGGTTTGCCTTAAAAAAATATATATATATAAGATATCGTAATATACCAGATATTGCGTAATATACCAGATATTGTACGCATCTGGAATCTAATATATCTATTATGCGTACATACTTACGTACTACAAATTTTTTAATTAAATTCAGTTATCTGTTATAAAAAAATTATTAACGTTAAAAAAAAATCTTTATTCAATAATTAAAAAAAAAAAAAACATTGTCTTTCAATCAATTGTTATAATAATGCACATTTATAATTTAAGGACCTCAGTTTTTTATGCGATGTGATGTGATGCGCATAATAGGCATAATGGATACTAAACATAATTTGCATAATCATAATTGACGCCTGACGATTGGTCAATTTTTTATAAATCGTAAAAAATCAAATTAGCAAATTATATCAAGAAGAAGAAATAAGACTTAAAAATAAATTAATTAATAAAAAAAAATTTATATTATAATTGATGAAACTATAGACTTTTGTGAAAGTGTTGTAATTAATATTTTTTAATAAAACTAAATTGGTAAAAACTGGTTTTTTACAATTTATTAATTATATTACTATTTCTTAATTAGTTATTTTTATAATAGTTTTTTATAAATTTCTTTTAACAATATAATTCTATTTATTACTAATAATGTTTTTTTATATGTTAGTAGTTTTTGAGTTTTTTCTTCTTAGATTTCTAAATTAAAATATAATATTTGTTTTGTATATATTTTTAATTTAGTAAGTAAAATTTAAATTGAATACAAAAATTTTAAATTTTTT